TGCGATGATTTATTCAAAACATAATAAAAACTCGGAGATGGTGACTGTCTATCATGGTGGTGGTCCGTGGTAATGTGTGTTGTGTAAAGTAAAAAAATGTGTAATGAAAAATGTGTACCAAGTGAAAATAAACATGGTACGATGTTGAAATAAATGATAAATGGAGAAATGCATACCTGGGAACTTGGTTGGACATGGGAAAACACAGTGGGAAGTCAGGCGCCCTATAGCGCTTAGGCGCGGGAAAATTCGCCTAAAGCGCGCGCAAGTCGCGCAAGTGTCGCCTATGTCGCGGAAGTGTCGCCTAAGTCGCGCGCGTCGCGCGAACGTCGCGTTTATCGCGCAAGTGTCGTGTTACATGCATGATACTGTAGACTCGACCTATGTTGCAATATGTGCCATTGTGAGGCTACCCAGGATCGAGTCTCTACACCGGGATGCCCTGCTGTGGCGTGGTCATGGGTTCGTTCTAAAATAGAGTGGCGTCCTGCCGGTCGGACGTAGGCACGGTCTTTGTAGAATAAGACATCATCCTTAATCGTCCAGTCAGAGAGAGCCGATTTCATAGGAGGAAGACAAAGGCCATTTAAGGCATCAGAGGCGGCTTGGAAGATGGGATCAGTGTCATCAGGATCAGGATTCGCAAGAGTGGTCATGAGTTCTTGGTCGAGGAGGCGAACGAACATGGAATCGGGGAGGAGTGTCATATTTTCGTTATCGATGGTGTCCGGTGCATGATCAGGACATCGCGATAAGGCATCAGGTGCAGCAAGCTTGGTTCCTGGTACGTGGTGGAGTTCAATATCATAACATGAAAGAAGGAGTTGCCATCTAGCTTGGCGACGGGTTAACTTCTGTGCGGTACGGAAATAGAGGAGATTCTTATGATCGGTGAAAACAATAACCGGATGAGGGTTCCCTTCCAAATAATGGCGCCATTCTTGGAGTGTGCGGATAACGGCAAGGAGTTCCCGATCGAAGATCTGATAATTTCGTTCAGCGGGGTTCAAGGATTGGGAGAGGTATCCGCATGGATGATATACGCCGTTTTCATCGGTCTGTAGTAAGATGGCACCTGTTGCAACAAGGGATGCGTCGGTGGCTACTGCGAACTGTCGAGATGGATCGGGATTATGGAGGACAGGTTGTCTTAGGAAACACTCCTTGAGTGTCGTGAATGCTTCTTGACACGGTGTAGACCAAAGGAAGACGTTGTCTTTCTTTGTCAGATCGATAAGGGGTCGTGCGATATCGGAATAATGAGGGATAAAGTTTCGGTAGAAGTTACAGAATCCAAGGAACGATCTGGTTTCTTTAACAGTAGATGGGATTGGCCAATCACGGATTCCATCGGTTTTGGCAGCGTCCATGGCGACGCATCCTGGACAAATAATCATACCGAGATATTCGACCTCCTGCGCATCAAAGGTACATTTCTCTGGTTTCAAGAAGAGTCGTTCTTCACGAATTTTCGTAAGAATATGACGGGTACAAGCGTGATGTTCATCAAGGTTGTCCGAAAAGATGAGGATATTGTCCATGTAGATCACCAGCCATCCTTCATTAATTTCTTGTTGGAACGTGCAGTTCATGTAGGCTTGGAATGTGGCCGGGGAGTTACAAAGTCCGAAAAACATGATGTTCGGCTCATAGAGTCCGAATTCTGTAGTGAACGCAGCTTTCCATCTATCATCAGGGTGAATGCGGATGTTGTTATAACCGGATCGGACATCCATCTTGGTGAAATACTTTGCTCCATGTAACCGTGCGACAAGAAATAAGGGAAGCGGCAAGGGATAAGCGTTCTTGATCGACCAATCGTTGATATACCAATAATCTTGGCAGGGTCAGAGATCTCCGCTTTTCTTTCCTACAAAGAAGAAACCGCTGGCTTGCGGCGACTTGGATTCCGAGATAAAACCTTTCTTCACATTTTCATCAATGAATGCTTTGACAGCGGTTCGTTCGGCGATAGAGAGGGGATAGATTTTCGACGTTTTGGGAATGAATCTGGGTTTCGTTTCAATATGGTGGTCAATACCGGGTCGTTCAGGGGGTAGTTGATTGAGACCATCTTTAGCGAAGATATCGACAAAGTCATGGAGATAGGAGGGTACAAGTTCTTCGAAAGTCTTCTTCTTCTGTTCTAAGCCTGCAGCTAGAGCGAACTGCTGAGCTTTGTTACTAACTTTCGTGTATTCCGTAGGCCGTGGCAAGGGTTTAACTGTGGGTTCTCGTTCAGAGCGACTAGTTCCATCCGGGGTCAATGGCATATCCATGGTAGTATTTGAAATTACCCGGAGTTCGGATGCATCAAGGGAGTATTCTACCAGGAATTCGTCATCATCTAGATTGTACATAGAGACTTCTCGCACTGGTGCGGCAAAGGTTTCGTCGTCTTCATCGGGGATGGGGAGTAGGCTGGGGAGTGGATCAATGGTGGGGAGAACGGATGGTGCTTCCTCGTCAACGATCTCTTCGATGGTTGCTTTTGGATAAACGACAGGAGTTTCGATAATTGGTGCCTTCCTGAGTTTGGATTGCTTCCAAGTTCGATTGATGGATTCTTGTTGAAATAGAAGTGGAAGGTCGTTCTTCTTCCTTTCTTTGTCGACTTCTTCTTCAACTTGATTACTCTTTTCCGTTCGGGAAAGGATGAGGGTTTCGGCTGCCCAGTCGATGACCGGGTTCATAGCCCGTAGCCAAGGGATTCCAAGGAGTATTTGGTCCCTTCTGCCGAGACGTGTGACGTTAAACTTTCCAATCATGGTTCATTTGTCAATTTTGATGGTGAGGACGCAGTATCGGCGTATGGCTCCACTTTTGGAATAGCTTCCATCGGCGGTAGTGACCCTAAAAGGTTTGGTGAGGGCATGGGTTCAGATTTTGTGCTTCTTAACGAAGTCTTCCGAGATGAAGGTTCCGGCTGCTCCGGAATCGACGACTGCAGTGGTTTCAATGGTTTTCAGACGTGTTTTTGAAATGAGGGAAATGGGAACTCGAAGTTCTTTTTGTTCACCAACTTTTCGTACAAGTCTAATGGGTACATCGAGAGATACTGACGTTGATCCAGTCTCCCATATCAAAAATCCTCGTTGAGACGATGGACTTCTGCTTCTTCTTCTTCTTTGTCACTATCTTCTACTTCTTTGCGGCGTATCGGGGTTTTCCCTTTCTTCTTCTCAGGACAATTCTTGAAAAGATGTCCGGTCTTGTGGCAGGTGAAACATTTTCCGGTTCGGAAATGTTCTGTGCGTTCTTCTTCAGAGAGCCGATCAATCACCATGGCGTTGGGATCCTTAGATGGTACGTATCAGTTAGATCCGAAGTTCTTCTTCTTCTGGGGTTGGTTGCGTGCTCTGATGGCGTTCAGGTGAAGGCGAGAGTTGTTGAGATTGATACAAGTGGTAAGAACGACCTCGAAGTCGTCAGAGACGTCTCCCGTGCCATAGAGACGAGCGAGTAGTCCGGGGTGTAATCCGTCTAAGAAGAATTGCTTCTTTGCGACGTCACCTTGAATTCCTGCCCTTCGTGTGAGCATCAAGAACTCCGAGATATAATCTTGGAGTTCGGTTCCTTGTTTCAGATTGCGGAGCTTCGCTAACGCGGTTCCCGAGGGGTCGAGTGGTCTGAACGCGCTCTTGAAGTCGGCCAAAAATTCGGCCCATGTACCGTATCCTTTGACGAGTCCTACGGTAGTTTTGTTGTTGGGGTCCTGCGCTTGTCTGAGGAAATCTTCTTTCCAGTAGCGCGCGTTCCCTTCGTTCATGAAGGAGGTTACGAAAATGATTTTCTGTTTGTCGTCGACATAGATCTTCTCGTTGATATCGAGGTAAGACATGCACGACATCATGAATCCTTCGGATTTATCTCTATCCCCGTCAAAGACCGGGGGAGATCCGATCTTGATTTCAATGGGTTTCGTGGAAGACATTGGGGGATTCAAAGGTGGTAGGGGTGGTTCAAAGTGCCAAAAATTGGTGTTAATGACGTCAGCTTGTTTCAGCTTCTGGGGACCTGGGGTTCTATCTGTCGTGATGACCAGGGTTTGTTCTGTCTGGGTTACAATGTGTGATAGCGATGTGTTTCGTGAAAGACTTTAATCTTTTGTTACGAACTAGGATGGTTCTGACGTATGGCTACTCGATAAGAGTAATCGGCCAAGGTCGGTTCAAGGCTTCGGCGTATACCGAAGCTTCAAGGTTCCAGACAAGACAAGGAGAGTGTCCTCGACTTGAATCAAGTTCAATACGACTTAAGATTGGAGGTCTTAAGCGAAGGAAGTTCCAGGTAAAACCTAGTAAGATTAAAGTAAAGAACTACATGGTACAGGATGAGTTTAAACAGTAAACGGTAATGACTTTAGGGCCAGTACGATAAGGTCATAGAGATGAGTCAGAGATAAGGCGAGTCAGAGATAAGACGAGTCAGAGATAATATGAGTCAGAGATAACAAGAATAGATCATCTAGCGACGGCAAGATGCGATCATGATGTAATACAATGATGTGAGAGAAAGAAAATGAATAGGGGCGTACTTGACTGTAACACCCCATACAACTCAGTTCTATCGCGGTCTTGTGTGCCTTCTCTGGCAAAGGCTCCACCCTCACCAAGCCAGACCTCAGGCCTAGCGCCAAGTTCAGTTTTACATGATTTAGGAAGGATTCCGACGCTCGCTACTACTTCAGCAACATGGCTAAGTACATGATCTCTTTCGTCAATTATACATGTCCCCCGATACGTCCTTACAGGGTCTCCTTGCCTCGGTCACTTTGCACCTTGAAACATTGTCGGCTGCGCTGCAGCGCACAGTCCACAGCTGCATATAATGTCAATGCCGCCCTGATGTAGGTTCATTTCTGCTTTGTTGTGTGTTCTGAAGTTGAGTGCGTATGCTCTTAGAACATGATCATTTGCTGCAATATGGAGAATTTCAATCCTCTTGGTACACACTGGCGATTCGATTGGTGTTGCACCGTCTCAAACTCTTCCGGACGACAAATACCACATGCTTCGCAGTGCTGCTATCAATGTCATCAGGCATCTCGGTGTTGTCGGCGAGTGTAACATTCAGTATGCACTTAACCCCAATTCCAAGGAATACTGTGTCATTGAGGTTAATGCTCGGTACGTTTATTGTTCTTTCATATTTTTCTATACCTAACACGACTTCTTTCAGTTCAAGTCGCTCAAGTGCCCTGACGTCTAAAGCTACTGGTTATCCGCTTGCCTACACTGCTGCTAAAATTGCCCTCGGGCATACCCTTCCAGAACTGCCCAACGCGGTGACTAAGACGACTACAGCTTACTTTGAGCCTTCTCTCGATTACATTGTCACTAAGATACCTAAGTGGGATCTCGCAAAGTTTTCATTGCAGGTCAACCGCGAAGTTGGGTCCTCAATGAAGAGTGTTTGGGAGGTCATGGCTATTGGTCGCACATTCGAAGGCTACCTGTGCTGATAAAGGCGAGTACATCGGTTCCACCTCACCCAGTTGTTGACATTTTCGCCATCAGCCAGCTTGACTGCTCTGCATCACGCTGCAGTTCTTTGTCCCCCTACTCTGGTCTCCCATTTGATCTGCCACAGCGTGATGACATATATTATGCTCTCGAATTATTTCGATATGTTCAGTAGATTTGTGGCAGCTAGTGGTAATTTTTCCTCACAGAACTCATAAGACGCCATACTAAATATCTGATGTTTTCCAGGCCCTGCCTTTGATCACAAGATCAAGCGCTCTGCTGTTCATGAAGGCTTGAACCTCATTTCCATTGCGCTTTGTATGGTCATGGCTGGTACAGGGGAAATCACCTACTTACGACGCCTGAGATATGCATATGGCATGTATCACCAAGCGTTTCGATATGGTGTCCATGTCGCAACTCACCTGTCGCTTGGCTTGTTATTCCTCGGGGCTGGTCGGTATACCCTCGGAACTTCGAATGCCGCAATTGCTTGCATGATCGTCGCCTTTTTCCCTCGTTTCCACCATGTATCACCAGATAACAAGAGCTATCTTCAGGCTCTTCGCCACCTCTGGGTTCTTGCAGTTGAACCTAGATGCCTTATGGCACGGGATGTTAATACCAGAGAAGCAGTCTATCTCCCAGTCAAAATCACCACGAAAGAAGGTGCTGAAAAGGGTGCAACGCAGCTGATATCGCCTATGCTGATACCAGATTTCAACAAACTTTTGTCCATTAGAATCGATACACCCCGCTATTGGCCTTTCTTTGTGGACCTTGAACACATAGCACAGCATAGGAGAAGCCTGTTAAAACACCAAACATTATACGTCAAGCGACGCACGGCTTTTTGAGCTATATGGAGGATCCCGCAATTGACCGACATGAAGGTGCACCCCGCAAGCGACCTGACTCATATCATCTCATCTTTCTCCAATGCAAAACCCATGGATATGTGACTCTTTGCCATCGCTTATGCGATGTACAACAAGAATTACAGTGTTGACCAGCTGCATGACTTGACCAAGATCGACAAGGTAAGGAGTTTGTTCGCGCCCGAGTGTCACTGTATTCACATCCGTCCCTAGTGGTACCTCTACACAATAGACAATATCGTTCAAACAAGCAGGGCTACTAAGACAGTTGGCTCTGGTTCAGATCGTGTGTGCTCTTTATGTCTTCAATTACACTGTACTCACGAGTAAATTCATCGCAGCTGACTCAAGTAAATGTCACTACTCCCTCGAATGCATCAACCCAGCAGCTTGGCCAGTGTGTGATATATCTGGACGACATGCATACCAGAGGAACAGATGTCAAACTTCCTTCTGGCTTCTGAGCTGCTGTTACGCTTGGTCCGAAGGTCACGAAAGACCGCCTGATGCAAGGTTTGTGATTACAGAGTTCATGCTTATCAGTTTCGACAATGATCAATAACACAGGATGCATGCGAATGCGGAAGCTGGGCTATGGACACTCAGCGTTAAACAAAAGGGACGAGTCTTTAGTTTAGTTCCTTGGCAATATAACTATTCCTCCTCCTCTTTGATGCTATCTTCTTTGACACTGTCTTCTTTGACACTGTCATCCTCAACATCGTCCTCCTCTGTCCTGCTTAAGATCTCAGCAACAGCATGCTCCTCGGCTAAAGGCAAAAGGTACCCGCTCACAGTATGATGGTCATCTGGTGCGGGGCCGCCGGTTCCTTGCAGACGTGGTCGAGCAGAAGAAGACTTCTCAGACAGTGGATGGCACTCACACACAGGCTGATGGCGAACTTGTTGATATTGATGCCTATAGCCATGCATTCGACGACATCCCCAACCAATACTCTGCACCTGCACTTGAGCTCTTCCTGGTCCAGAAGGGATTGACGGAGGGGCGTAGTCTCAGCACAACATGGGGCGTGTTCTCGGCTTTCAATGATCTGTGGAAGAATGCGTGAGTGGTTTCACGCTTCAGTGTTCAACATGGTGACACAATCCGACAACCATACAGCCAAGGGGAGACCTACCGAGAGCCCTACCACTTCAACCCAGCAACTGGCATAGTTTCCGGAAACCCGGCACAGTCCGCAGCGGTGCAAGACATGATGGAAGTTCTGAAGAATAACGAGGGAGCAGAAGGTGGCTGTAGGAACCATGCATCTGCCATGACGATCGAGGATATGCGGAAGATTATGGCATGGTCCTACAAGCAGTGCCCGGATGAGCTGATCAGTCTCATCTACTCCCAAGTTCAAAGCGGGTTGCCCCTTGATATGGATGAGGTGATTTCAGCCCAGAAGCACCTTGTGATCCGTGCGTTCGCAACCACAGGCTTTACGATTTGGACACGGTGCGTCTGTCAGTACAAAAGTGCAAAGACTGATTATATTGGCCACCCAATCCCTCACAGGAATTTTGAGCTTACAAAAATCAGACGTAAAGACGTGGTTTGGAACTGCCAGGGACTCCCACCATACAACATCCCTTACAACTTAGTGAGCCTGCTCAATCGCAAAGGCTGGCAGCGAAAAGGCAAGACTGATGGTGCCTTAGAAGGTAGTACAATGACCTTCATGTTCCTGAATACTGACATGAACTGTGATATCTTTATAGAACGGCTGCTAGGCTGTTCTCTAGTACTGTCTTTGAAGAATGTCAGCTGGAGCATTGTGGCCGTAGTGCTGTGCTTTGGCAATGGTTAATATTCCTCAATGCTGGCCATGCAATCAATGATGAGTACGAACCAGTACTGTTTTTGATGCTTTGAAAGGTGCAGGATGATGGTAGGCCCCTTACTATATGTTTGGACTCCTATAATTCACATGAAGTACATGACACAGCATCTGCACGTCCGTTGTATTGCACTCTCATTTGTGACATTTCATTATTCATCGCACTTCACTAATTGTATTTTTATTATGGGTCGGGGAGCTACGAAGAAAATATCTGCCACAGCAGTAAAGAAAGGGAAGTCTACTACTGCATCAGCGTCGGCTCTCGCTACCATTCGGTGGTGGGGTGCATGGGCCGAATGCGAAAGCGTGAGTGGCTCATTGTGCAGCGCAAAGTTGGTTTGACCAACATCTTCGGCAGGTCAATACACTAATACGGTACCTTCTGGATGAGCTCACTCGGTACGAAAAGAACCACAGGGATGCATTGTGCCCCATTCCTCGGGAGGGCGACAAGAGTTTCAATGGCAACCATACATATCTTAACTGCACCTGTGACGGCGGCGGAAACACGGGAACTGAAGATGTCATTTGATCGTGAGCTAACCCGGCTGTCTGGCAAAGTCGAGGAGGTCCTGGACAAACTGACCCTTACCCCACCGGTATCCTCATCCTCCTCGCCATCACCTCCGCCATCACAATTTTCTCAGCTCTCGATCTCGACTCCCATCCCTTCCCTGCCATCTCCATTGCTGTCTCCACCACCTGCACAGCCCCTACAGCGGACACCATCTCATGAAGCATCGCACGAGCCCCTCTCGGGGAGTTATACAACATCATCGGCAACACACAATGTGTTGGCCGTGAACTTGCAACTGTCTCCTGCACCCCTGTCATCTGCCGCCATACAGATACGCCAGGCACATCAGCACAGCACCCACCAGCACACCACAGCAACAAAAAAAAACGCTCCCATTCCTGGCATCGGAATTCCGGATCTTCCATGTGGGCTAGAGGCATGGCGTGCTGCTGTGAAGCAGTGGGAAGACCCTGCAGCTTCTATTGGAAGTAAGGCCCTCAAGGATTGGCCGGAGGAGTGGTATACTGGTCCCATGCATGATAACTGGCGT